AACTATTTAATTCACATTTTAACTATTTAATTCACATTCTTGCTCCCATCATACACAATTTCGTACTGACAACATCGAGTCTTCTAGAAGATAGAACATTACCAGTTACTATCAAGAAACTCTTTCGCTCTCTCTCTCTCTCTCCCATCATGTACGAGGACTTATAAACGGGTAGCAGTCGCAGAAGTAGTATTTTTGTGGCCGTAATTCTACGATACATTCATCAAAAATATGTGCTTTTATGGTTGAGCGTATGGTGTTGATGTTCCCGAATACAATAGAGACAGGCGATGAGATCATCGTTTTGTCATTGAATTCTGGAACAAGAGGAAGTCACTCCATTCGATAGTGATGCCTACAGGAGAACCACGAAGCAGGAAAATCAACTTCAGAGCATTGAAACATGTCAAAGAGGTTAATTTTTGAAATAGTTCAATCGCATCGATCGACGGCCTGGCCAGCCTTCAACGTCCACAGAAGAACATAGTATTACGAATTTTGAGCGATTTTTGTAAGACAGTTGGAAAGTGACGACACGTCATTGGGCGTTAAATCAGTTCCTCATTAGTATTTGGTTATGATCTGAGTTTGTAATGTTTTTCAGTTTGTAATTTTTACTTCTTCTGAGATGTGAACCCTAATCCAAACTTCAGAGACGAATTTTGATCATGGGATAATGGATAAAAGTTTGGTTCACGGTCTGTAGATCACGGGATCCTTTGAGCTCCATGAAGCGAGTAAATACCATTAGCTTGCTGCTTTTCTGGGCTAGCAGGACATACAGATAAGTAGATTTGCAATCTGCGGTCAGCCTTCAGCTCTTCATAGATTGGATCCTGGCCGTCAGATGAGAATTCAGTCAATCAATATATCGATCCTGCGCAGTCACCTCCAAGCCTATGCCGCTGACGTTTGGTTAGCTAGCGCCCATTATAACTATCGCCTGTTTTGGTGGTGTTTTTATATCTGACGATGGACCACTGCACGAGTTCGAAAGCTCGAGCAATAAACATATGGTCCCGATGTTCAACCAGCCTTCATCTGCCATACGTATGTATACACCTAGACTTAAAAATACACCTTCATTTGAGACTAATGACTACCTTTTCAGCCTTGCCTATCCTGCTTCTGACTAGGAGACGCTGGGCTGCAGTTAATGACAATTAAAAGCATTGCTTAAAGAAATATATCGTCGAGCCGAATAGCCGCGCAAAGTTCATATATGCAAAGTTCGCATGTGGTGACCCTACTGGAGTCCGCCCATGCAACACTGAGCCCCTTGTCCATAACTGAACACGCGTACCAGTGGCAGTCTGGGTCTCGACCAACCAACGTCAGGGTCGACTCTGACAAGCCCTCGCTCTAGGCGACCTAACGTCCGCTCCTGTGGTACTCGGACGCCTGCTCCTGGGACGCCGTGCGTCCGCAGTTCATCCGGCAGGCAACCTGTCTCATCCTATTCTCCATCGATTCTGTACAGAATAAAATGCCCCCTACTGGCGTCTGATTTATCCTCTTCCTGTGCCGTTGGTGTCTGAGAAGCGTACTGACTAGGGTCTGCCCATGGCTTAAGCTGCCGCGACAAGTTGTCAACAGTGAGAGCAAGGATGATGCTGAAGGCAGTTGTGGTGTTTGTAGTAGTCGTAGTAGGAGAAGTAGAAGAACAAGAAGAAGAAGAAGAAGAAGAGGAGGGGGAGGAGGAGGAGGAAGTGGTAGTATCAGTAGTAGTATTACTATTATTATTGAAGAAGGAGACGATCGCTGGGACAAGAGACTTATTAGCCTGACCTTTCGGATTACTGCTCGAACCCACCATCAGAGACAAAAGCCGATATGGGTGGTGCATGCACAA